ACTCCAGTCTGGGTGACAGAGTGAGACTCCAACTCAAAAAAAAAACAACAAAAAAAACTCCATTCTCTAGTCAGCAGTCAGCCTTCAGCTAAAGCATTGCCTCTGTTCTGTAAAGTTCTGTATGTAGTTCCTGAGTTTCTGCAGGGGGTGATCTTTGCTCTTGTCCTGAGAAATAACAGTGGTGTTTAAACATATTTGAAATAAAGACTGCACGCACATACAAACAAATACCTTCCCAAAGCCCCTGGCTGCTCACTTACCACTGTATCCCTTTAGAACACTGTGATTTTTATATTTGTTTAGAAACCCCATTAGTAAATGATGAAGTGCTTTTTTAATGCAGTCTGTAAAGAACACAAGTTCTGAACAGTAGTCCCTTCTTATCCACAGAGGATATGTTTCAAGATGCTCAGTGGTTGCTGAAACCTTGGGTTGTATAAAGCCTGTATATTCAGCCCTATGTTATTTCAGTCTGATACTGAGATGGCTACTAAGTGACTAATGGGTGGGGGGTAGCATCTACAGCCTGGGGATCCTGGACAAAGGGATGATTCACATCTCAGTGGGATATAACGGGACGATGTGAGATTTCATCATGCTACTCAAGACAGTGATGATTTATAACTTATGAATTGTTCATTTCTGGAATTTTCCATAAAATATCTTTGAACCTCGGTTGACCAAGAGCAACCGAAACGTCAGCAAAACCACGGATGGAGGAGGGACTGCTGTATGGTATGACAGGGTCCCTTTTACTTGGCCAGTGTTTTGCTGAATGATGTGAAAAAAGAAGGAATTTTAGAATTAATTACTAGCTCTTTATATTTAAAGTCATAAAATTTGGGCCTGGAATTAATTTCTCAGAGATTTGAGATTACTAGAGAAGACTTTTTTTTTTTTTTTTTTTTAATTTTTGGCACTATGGGTAGCTTTATCTGAGTTTCTTATTAACTTTTCCTGCCTGGACTTATTTTCTTTTTTCACATAATGAGGAAAATCATGAGATGACAAGTCACAGACTGGAAGAAAATATTTGCAAAACATACCCCTGATAAAGCACTGTTACCCACAATATACAAATAACTTTTTTAACTTAATGAGAAAACTGACAACTCAATTTTTAAAAAATGGGCCAGTGCTCTACTAGACTCTGGTGTGGCCATGTACTCTTTGAGCTATGGCTGTTGCCATGTTTCCTGGCTTTGTCCCCCTCGCTACCCTAGGGAGGTGAAATCTCTTCCTTCTCTCTCTCTCTAATTTACTTTCTAAATAAACTATAATTTCTCATCTAAAAAAAAAAGGCAACAGACCTGAACAGACACTTCATGAAAGATGTACAGGTGGCAAGTAAGCATATGAAAAGATGCTTAACAGCATATGTTCTTAGATAATTGCAAATTAAAACAAGATAACAGGAAGCACCAGTTAGAATGGCCAAAATTCAAACCATCAACAATGCCAGAGCTGGTGAGGATGCAGAGCCACAGTAACACTACTGGTGAGGACAAAAGATGGTACAGTCACTTTGTTTTTTGTTTGATTATTTTGAGTAAGTGTCTCACTCACTCTGTCACCCAGGCTGGAGTGCAGTGGAGTGATCGTAGCTCACCACAGCCTCGAACTCCTGGGCTCAGGTGATCCTTCCTTCTCAGCTTCCCAAGTAGCTGAGACTACATGTGTGCCACCATGCCCTGCTAATTTAAACAATTGTTAGCGGGGCTCGGTGGCTCAGCCTATAATCCCGCGCCTTTGGGAGGCTGAGGTGAGTGGATCGCCTGGGCCTGCGGGTTCGAGACCCGCCTAGGCAGCGAGACCTCATCTCTACAATAAATCAAAAAATCAGCCGGGCGTGGTAGTGCATGCCTGTAATTCCGGCTATTCGGAAGGCTGAGG